CACCAGCTTTCTCCCCTCTCCTGCTTCACCACCCTTCTCGTCTTCTTCCCCTCTTCCTCCCCACCAGCTAGTCTCCTTCTCCCCCTCCTCCTTCTCCCACCAGCTTCTCCCCCTCTCTCGCTCCTCCTCCACCATGATTCTTCGCCCGTCTCCCCCCTCCTCCTTCTCCACCAGCCATTCTCCCCGCTCCTCCTTCTGCCACCACGTTTCTCCCTCTCCCCTCCTCCTTCTCCACCAGCCTTCCCCCATCCTCCTTCTCCCTCCTCCCCTCCTACCTCCTCCACCGAGCTCTCCCTCCCTTCCTTCTCCACCACTTCTCCCTTCTCCCCGCTCCTCCCTTCTCCATCAGTTTGCTCCCCCCTCCTTCTCCACCACCTTCTCCCTTCTCCCCTCCTCCTTCCCACCACTCCCCCCTCCTCCTTCTCCACCACCTCTCCCCTCTCTCCCTCCTCCTCTCCACCACCTCTCCGCTTCTCCCCCTCCCCTTTCTCCACTCCTCCTTCTCCTACCACTTCTCCGCCTTCTTCCCCCTCCTCCTCCTCCACCAGCTTCTCTCCCTTCCTTCTCCCTTCTCCCCCCCTCCTTCCCCACAGCTTCTCACCCTCCTCACTTCTTCCCTCTCTCCGCCCCTCGCTCCTTCTCCACCAACTTCTCCCCTCCTCCGTTCTCCCCAGCCTTCTCCTTCTCACCCCTCCTCTCTTCTCCACCAGCATTCTCCCTCCCTCTTCTCCACAGCTTCTCCCTTCCCCCTCCCCTTCTCCACCAGCTTGCTCACCCTCCTCACTTCTCCACCACCTCTCCCTTCTCCCCCTTTCCTCGTCCACCAGCTTCTCCTTGCTCCCCCTCATCCTTCTCCACCACAGCTTCTCCCTCCTCCTCCTCCACCAGCTTCTCCCCCCTCCCATCCTCTCCCACCGACCTCCCTCCTTCCCCTCCTCGCTTATAGTGTCCAGATCCCTATGTGCAGAATAGTTGTCACATTTTCCCTCCTCTGCAGCCCTTCCGAATCTCTTCCTCCTCCAGCTCTACGTTCGAGTCTCATAGTCTCAAGGCCGGTCCTCTTCTCTCCTGAGCGCCTCCTTTCCTCCTCCTCCCCTGCGCAGCCCGTTCCTATTGCTCCTGTTCCTTCCTCTGTTCCAATTCGATTCTAAATGTGAAATGGTGTGTTAGTGAGGAGAGGGGGAAAGGAGATGGGAACAAGCTAAAAGGAAACGAGAACGGGAAGAGACGAAGGCAAAGAAAGACCGAGACACAGGCGGAAGGAAGGAAGAGCAATAACACAGCGAAGTGAATGAATAGATGGGAAGGAAGCAAGAGAGAAAAAAAAGAGAAGAGTTGGAAAGAAAGGAAAGTGAAAAGAAGACGAGAGAGAGAGAGAGAGAGAGAGAGAGAGAGAGAGAGAGAGCAAGAGAATAGGAAAGTGAAGGGTCTATAGAGAGGGAGATAGCGAATGAAGGAGGAAGGGAATAGCGCAAGAAGAAGGCAGGGAGATAGAGAAAAAAGAGGAGAGAGAATAGATGAAGGACAGGACGAGGGAGATAAAGAATGAAGGAGAGGAGATAGAGAAATAAAGAGGGAGGGTGATAGGAATGAAAGAGATGGAGAAGAGAATGAAAGAGAGGGGAGATAGCGAATGATAAGAGGCAGGGAGGATAACGAATGAAGAGGGAGGGAGATAGTGAAGCAGGAGGGAAGAGAGATACGAGAATGAAGAGGAGGGAGATAGAGAATGAAGAGAGGGAGAATAGCGAAATGAAGGGAGGGAGATAGGCGAATGAAGAGAAAGGGAGATCAAGAGAATGGAGAGAGGAGGGAGATAGCAAATGCAAGAGGGATGAGATAGAGAATAAAGGAGGGATGATAGCGATGAAAGGAGGATGAGATAATGAATGAAGAAAGGGAGGGAGATAGCGATCAGAAGAGGAGGGAGATAAAAGAATGAGGAGGACGGAGATAGAGAATGAGGAGTAGGGAGATAGCGGTAATGAAGAGGGAGGGAATAGAGAATAAATGGAGGTGGAGATAGCGAATTAGAAGGAGGAGATAGAGAATGAAGGAAGAGGGAGATAGAGATGAGGAGGAGGGAGATAGCGAGATAATGAAGGACGAGAGGAGATTAAAATGAAAGAAGGGAGGGAGATCGAGAAGAAGAGAGAGGGAGATAAAGAATGAAGAGGAGGGAATAGAGAATGAAGGAGGTAGGGAGATGCAAATGAAGGAGGGAGGAGATACGAAATAAAGGAGGAGGTGAACGGAATGAAGGAGGAGCCGAGATAGAGAAGAAGCAGGAGGGAGGAGATAGCGAATGACAGGAGAGAGGGAGATAGAGAATGGAGGAGGAGGAGATAGCGAATGAAGGAGAAGAGGAGATGAAAAAGTGAAGGAGGTAGGGAGATAGCAAAATGAACGGAGGAGGAGATAAGAATAAAGGAGGGAGGTGATAGCCGTAATGAAAGAGGGAGATAGGCGAATGAAGAGAAGAGGGAGATAGAGAATGGAGGAGAGGAGGGAGAAGCGAAATGAAGGAGAGAGGAGATAAACGAATCAAGGAGGAGCGGAGATAGAGACATGAAGAGAAAGAGGGAGATAAAGAGAAGAGGAGGGAGATAGAGAATGAAGGACGGTAGGAGATAGCAAATGAGGAGGGAGGGGATAGCGAAGAAAGTGAGGAGGGTGATAGCGAATGAGACGGAGCGAGAGCAGTAGCAGACTACGAAAGAGGGAGAGCGTAGACTAGACGAATTCGAACGGAGACGGGAGATAGTGAATGAAGGAGGGATGGACGATATATAAGGAGGGACGGAAAGAACTGGAAGGAGGGAGGATAGCCAAATGAATGATGGGAGGGAGATAGAGAATGAAGGAGGCAGGGAGATAGCGAATGAAGGAGGGAGGGAGATAGAGAATGAAGGAGGCAGAGAGATAGAGAATGAAGGAGGGAGGAAGAGAGAAGGACAGTAATAGACTACTGTATAAGCTGTATATTTCACAATGGTTTAATTTTCGCGAATTTCGCGAACGCGAAAATAACAAAACGCGAATAATTCATACTGAATAATAACAAATAATGCATAATTCACCGACCGCGAAATTAACCACTCGCGAAATTGTCCGTCAAGTCTGAATTCGCGAAAATATCTGTACGCGAAAAATATGGCGTATACAGTACATGCCCTGAACATCCTCTATGTAACTGACACACACCTAAGCTGCTGCTGCCTTTGCATCTCCAGCTCTGCATCATGATCGGCCTTTTCCCGCGCCAACCTCCTCTGCTCCTGCATCTTCTGCTTTGCCTCCTCCTCCTCGACCGCAGTGCTGTTGCCGCGGTAACCAGCAGCTGCGAGCTCGTCCGACTCCCTGCGCTTTGGCTCCTTTCGGCTGCTGGACGCCGATCGTCTTGACGATGAGGCCTGCGCAAACGACAAAAACGCAAGAGCGGAATTAGGTGACAAGTGAGCATGCTTGTCGCGCGTTCTTATGCTAAACCTAGCATCATGTACGTTGCATGCTGAGCTAGTAAATACGTTGCTTGTACTGCAATGGATTACATATTTCTATATTTTCACTCTAAATCTATTAAAATTTAAATAAATAAATAAATAAATATATATATATATATATATATATATATATTTAGATATTAAATAGATACAGATAATTTCTTCACCTTCACTTTATTTTCTTTCTCTTTGCTCTCCTTCTCTCGCTTCTTTCTGTCCGTATCACGTTTCGCTTGCGTCTCTCGCTCATGTTTCTCTCTAGTGCTCTTCTCCTAGATACACACACACACACACATATATATATATATAACTAGACAGAGGGCACTCACGGAGAGTGCATACCTCTGCCAGCATGTAACATGTATGTCTTATTATTGTATTGGCTGGCTTTTCGCTCGCTCGTAGCAGCCGCTCGTTGCTGCTGCTCGCTCACATGTACACGCTTGCTGGCTTGCTGCCCACTCGCTCGTAGCAGCCGCTCGTTGCTGCTGCTCGCTCACATGTACACGCTTGACGGGACGCGCTAATATCGATCGCGCCAACACACTAACACACTAACACTGACTGGCCTGCTGCTGGCTACACGAACACACACACGAATGCACGAGACCGATCACATAACCTCCGCCCTCCAACTCCGTTGGGCGGAGGTAATAATACATTTACGTATATATATATACGTATATCATGAGTTAGCAGATGTAATAGCAGATTAATCTGCTGATATTTAGATATTCATGTACATATACTCCAAACCTAACCAAAGATTACTGTGCTTACTACTATCTAAATCCTGTCGTATATGTAGAAACCCTAATCCTAACCTCACCCCTAACCTAACACGAACCTAATCTTAATCTCACTCTAAATCTAACCTAATCATAATATAAACGTTAATTATTAATTATTAATAATCGTTATATTAACCTAATTCTCATCCTTATCACTGCGGGAAAAACTGGGGCACCGACCAAAATAGAATCATGTTAACAACTTCATGGCATTACCTTGTCTCGTTTCTCCTTGACTCGGTTCTTCCTCTCCTGTTCGCGGTCCTTCTTCGTCTTCTCTAACTTCTCCTTGTCAGCTTTCTCTGTCTCGCGCACGTCTGTGGTCTTACTCGCCGCTGGCGCCTTCTTTGACCGACCGGACAAATTACCGGTCGGCCTCGCCGTAGATTTTTCAGTCTTCGTGGCTGGTGACTTTTTCTCCACCAGGGCAGCATGCGCGCTCTTTATCATTCGGTTTGTCTGGAGTTTCTTCGTTTTCTCCGATTCCGCCTTGCTCTTTGCCCGGGGTGGCGTCGGTTCATCTATGGTACAAATTTAAAAAACCGGATGCTCTATAACAACAGGTTACGACGCCGGGTGATGCAAAAACGTATCTCCTATTCCTACTATAGCAAGTAATGCAGGAAAGACAGTAACGGGCATAGTAACTAATAGGTAATTTGCATTTTCATAATTAGCATAATTAGCATTTCCATAAATTATATTTTCATTTATATTATAATTTATATTCATTTATA